AAAATACCAACAGCATTCTTTAACAAACTAATTGTTCTAAAATTCATATGGAACCACAAAAGACGCCGAATAGCCAAAGCAATCCTGAGAAGGAAGAATAAAGCAGGGATGTTTTGCTCCCCAACTTCAAGCTCTACTACTACAAAGCCACAGTAATCAAAACAATTTGGTACTGGCATAAGAACAGACCCATAGATCAATGGAACAGAATAGAGAGCCCAGATATAAACTCAACCATAGATGATCAATTAATATACAATAAAGGAGCCATGGATATACAATGGGGAAATGACTGCCTCTTCAGCAACTGGTGTTGGCAAAACTGGATAGCAACATGTAAGAGAATGAAACTGGATTACTGTCTAACCCCATACACAAAAGTAAACTCGAAATGGATTAAAGACCTGAATATGGTCTTTAAGTCATGAAACCATAAAACTCTTAGAAGAAAACATAGGCAAAAATCTCTTGGACATAAACATGAGCGACTTCTTCATGAACATATCTCCCCGGGCAAGGGAAACAAAAGCAAAAATGAAAAAGTGGGACTACATCAAGCTGAAAAACTTCTGTAGAGCAAAGGACACCATCAGTAGAATAAGAAGGCATCCTACAGTATGGGAGAATATATTCATGAATGACATATTTGATAAGGGGTTAACATCCAAAATATATAAAGAATTCACACACCTCAACACCCAAAAAGCAAATAACCTAATTAAAAATGGGCAGAGGGCCTGGAACAGATACTTCTCCAAAGAAGAAATTCAGATGGCCAACAGGCACATGAAAAGATGCTCCACATTGCTAATCTCCAGGGAAATGCAAATTAAAAGCACAGTGAGATATCACCTCACACCAGTTAGGAAAGCCAGTATCCAACAAACAAGAAACAACAAATGCTGGCAAGGATGCAGAGAAAGGGGAACCCTCCTACACTGCTGATGGGAATGTAAATTAGTTCAACCATTATGGAAAGCAATATGGAGGTTCCTCAAAAAACTCAAAATAGAAATACCATTTGGCCCAGGAACTCCACTTCTAGGAATTTAACCAAAGGAAACAAGATCCCAGATTCAAAAAGACATCTGCACCCCTATGTTTATCACTGCACTATTTACAATAGCCAAGATATGGAAGCAACTTAAATGTCCATCAGTAGACAAATGGATAAAGAAGAGGTGGTACATATATATAATGGAATATTATTTAGCCATAAGAAGAAAACAAATCTTACCATTCACAACAACATGGATGAAGCTGAAGGGTATTATGCTCAATGAAATAGGCCAGGCAGTAAAAGACAAGTACCAAGTGATTTCACTCATTTGTGGAGTAAATGAAGCAAAATTGAAGGAACAAAACAGCAGCAGACTCACAGACTCCAAGAAGAGACTAGTGGTTATTAAAGCAAAGAGTGTGGGGAGCAAGGGTGAGGAGGGAGGGAGAAGGGGATTAAAGGGCATGATGATTAGCACACATAATGTGGGGGATCACAGGGAAGGCAGTATAGCACAGAAAAGACAAATCGTGACTCTAGCATCTTACTAAGCTGATGGACAGCGACTGCAGTGGTGTTTGTGGGGGACTTGATAATATGGGTGAAAGTAGTAGCCACAATGTTGCTCATGTGAAACCTTCATAAGATTGTATATCAATGATACATTAATAAAAAATAAACAAGTAAGTCACAGGGATGAAAGTACAGAATAGGGAATATAGTCAATAATATTGTAGTAACTTTGTATGTTGATAGGTACTAACTATTATCATTGCGAACATTCAGTAATGTATATAATTGTCAAATCACTATGCTATACATGTGAAACTCATATAATACTGTATTTTAACTATACTTGAATAAAAGAAGAGAACCTGAAAAAAACCTAAGACATAGTTGCTGCTGAAGCAGGGGTTGGGAGGTGTCCCTGCCCCACCACCCCTTCCTCCCACTCCTTAGACGGGGTCTAAAACACTGCATGGCTGCCATGCCAGTTCAGCTTTTCCATGAAAAGCATCTTCATATTATTTTCAAATCACCCCCATGAATGATGGAGAAAGGCTTCATTCATCCTACCACTTAATCAACATCATGTTTTATGTTGTTTGGTGAATATTTGTGTTAGTCTTATGAGGACTGACATCCTGCATGTCTTCTTCCTGACTTATGCCTTATTTGTACTTTATATCTGCAAGTGTAGCACAGAGCCTGAGTCTTTCCTAGAGGTCATAGAATTTACGGTCCCTGAGGCAGTGCTCAGGCACTTCCTGCTGATGGGGAGAAAGAAAGCCCTTCCACACACACACTTCTAAGCCAGAAGATACAGTTAACTTCGTCATAAAACTTGGAATTCAAAGTAAACTGTAGTCATTTAGTAATCAGAATAAGAACTTTAAGTGTTAGTGGAGGTTGTTGACTAGAGTGCAGAACCTTATCCAGGCACTGGCAAAATTCCCGTTCAGGTCTCATTCTTTAACGGGAACTTTAGAATAGAGTAACAGTGAATAATACACATATAGCAAAATGTCTGTTCTGAAATTACCTTTGAACAAAAATAATGCAGGTAATTAATATTTGATTCACAATCATGTCAATAAACTCAAGATCATGAAAATTAACCAGACAACGTAGAGGGAAAAAAGGTTTATTGTAGACAATCTTATAAAGAAATTATCCCTATTGTGTACCATGTCTGCACCTATCAAATACCAAGTTCCTATTTATGTTTGTCACGCAGACACATTCTTTATTAATGAAATGATCTCTTTTATTGACAAAGTAAAAATCACTAACTATTGATAGGGTTTGGAGCTTCTTTGTTACTGTGGATCAGTCACTACCAGAAATCCTCAAACCAGGGCCATGTAAGTAAAATCTAGTTAATCTACTAGATGTTTAAATGAAAACAGGACACAAAGTACTAGTCACTACTGTAACAAACAAAGTGCAGGTCTTCTGTTCTCTAGTATGAACATTTTTTTTCTTTTTCTCAAGATGTGCATACATGAGCTCTTTCTAAGGAGCAGGCCCTCAAGGGTTATTGAGATATCAGAGAATGAAGCTCAATATATGTTTAAGAATGTGATGTAAGAATTAAATGTTTTTACACTCAGTAGAGAATTATAACCATATCTTACATATTAGAAACACATACAGTGGCTTCTTTCTGTTTGGAACATAGTTAATTCACTGCTTCTTGATGAAATTTATGTGTGAATAGTGTCATCAGATATTATTTATATTTGTATTATTTTGTAAGGCAAGTCCCATTATTTTTGTTATCTAGAACAGAGTTTATCAATGTTGACCTTTTCATTATTCACTGACTTCTTTTTCCAGCAAATCCTGCTGTGGTTTCTGTTAAAGATACATCTCAATGTTCAAAATAATATTTTTCTCAGTTTCAAGAAGGGTAGGCCTGGTATGATCATCTGGAGTAGAAATTTGCAGAAAAGATAATGTGATAATAAGGAAGGTGGGAGAGAGAGGGAGAGAGCATATGGGATGGAAGGGGCAGGAGGAAGGAAGGCATCTGGAGAGAGGGATGGAAGCTGAGAGGGGTCAGGATCAGAGAGTCAAAGAGAATAAAGATGGTGAGAGCAACCCAAAGAGGGAAGGACTAGGAGACACAGACCGCTGATAGGAGGTAACACCACCCCCACTGAGGGGAGCAAAGCTAAACAGGCACAGATACAAACACTAACTCAGAACTTGATCAAGTAACATGAGTACCATGGGAATTGTTTTGGCATTTAAAATTGCTATGCCAAAAGACTTTTTAAGAGCATGTGGCTGTTTTATGGCTACTACCATAAATGCCTATTTTATTTCTAGACATTTACCTAAGTGCAGATATTTGTTCCATAAAACTAGGTTCCTTTCTTAGTTCTCTGAATTAAAATACTAGAAACCTACAGATATACCCAAAAGAATTGTCTGATATTTGGAATAATTCCATTTATCCTTCTCAACCTCACCATATCACATTATGAGTCATTTCACAGACTTGCTGCCATGCTGGAATAATATTTGAAAGGAGGATCAAGAATTAAAATAGTGAACTAAGTACTGAATTAGTAGGAATCACCTACTTCCATATATTATTTCAACCATGTGCATATAAATGTATGTGCAATCTCTATATGAGTATGTATAAGTATGGAATATTATTTAGCCATAAGAAGAAAACAAATCTATTTTGTGCACACACAAAAATCTGTGAAATGCTTTAGCAGCTAAGTATCCTACTGAACCAGAAATTACTTGCTTTAAAGGCTGCCCCTCATTTAGAAAGACTTGACCAAAAATGAAGCCCACAAGCTCCACCTGTCACTTCCTGCAACTCAACCCCTTCTCTGCATATCTGCATATCCATGCCTTCCTGCGCATCCACCTCCAACAGCCTCTGAGGAACCACCCTCCTGGCCCACCTCTGTCCGCAGACCCTGCTATGTCAGACAGGTTTGCTCCTTTTGTGGTTCTGCCATCTTCCAGCCCGGCAGGCTGGCCACCTCTGTGGGCCATTCAAATGATCCCCTATATTTCCATCCACCAGTGGGGGTGGGAGTGAGTGAATATTTTGCCAGTGACTGCATCCTAATTTAATATTCCATCATGTAACCCTTTTTAAAAATTCACATTCTTGCTCAGAATATTACACAAACGTGCTTCCCAGACAACTCCAAAGCAACTGGGAACCCAGTTTTGAGCCAGAGTTCACTCGTGTAGACAATATGAGAGCTGCGCCTGCCCATATCCTATAAAACTGGGTGGTGTATGCACAGCTCCTGACACACAGGCAGTGTCACACCGTGAAGGGACTCTGGATTCTCATTCTGCCATCCTATCTACACTTTCTGGATGCACTTCTGGGAGCTATCCTGTAAATCACTGTTTATAAGGATGTTTCCATGGGTAACAGGGATGACGAGGTTAAAAACCTGCCTGCAGAGTCATTGGCCATGTGGGCTGGGGCGTCTTGAGCTGTTGGTCAGTCACTGTGATGCTTCAAAGCCTTATTAAAAATGTTTGGATCCCCATGAAGCCCTACTATACCCAGGTTTACCAGGAGATTTGGGTAGGAATGGGTTTGATAAGCTTCATCATCTATAAAATCAGGAGTGCTGATAAAAGAAGCAAAGCTTTGAAAGCTTTGAGTCCTGTGCTTGCTCATGGTCATCATTAACCAGACCTACTTGGAGAATGCATCAGATGGGACGTCATTCTGGCCAAAAATCTCAGCAGGCTGCTAGATGGGGGCACAGGAGGCTGCCATGCATGGGCAGAAGTGCTGCTCCCTTTGTGGCATGAATAAACACGCCTGTGAGACACTCAAAAAAAAACCTGCCTGCAGGCTTGGTCCATGGTGTTGTCTAAAATGGTCCTGCATCAGTTTTAGATATGGAAATAAACTCAACATCAAAGCATAACATTAAAGCACAAAATCATAAAAATCAAAGACATTTGGATCCTACAGTATAAGCTTTCTTTTGATACATGAATTTGTATTGCTTTTGAAGGTATGGGGCTATCCCGTGATGAATGCGCAAGTGCAAGGGGGTTTGAAGTAATGGAGGGGGTGGGCCTTCACACACTCTCAGGGACAATCTCTGTTCCTATCTCCCATTCGTCTGTGATCCCCCAGTTACCCAAACCCACAGTAGACCAAGAATCAAGTTTTCCATTCAATCTGAGAATCAGACCACAGGAAGAGTCTTCCATTCAATCCAATTTAACTCACTCTTAAGGAGTGCCTGCTTTCTGCCTTAGGAGTTTCCTGGGGGATACACCCTCATCCTTCCAACATCAGGCCCTATTTGAAATGTTGGGGGTATTATCAATGAAATAAGGATAATTCCTGCTTTAAGAACACTCACATTGTCATGAGACAGGGAAGAGGAATAGAGAAAGCTAAGGGGTGGGGGCTTGGCAATTTTAAGGCCCAGGTCAGGGAACACCTTGCTGACAAGAAGGCCTTTGAGTAAAGACCTGAAGCAAGTGAGGATACATACAGCCTCACAGGGAACAGCATTCCAGGCAAAGGGAAGAACATGAAAAGGCCTGAGGCAATGGCAGGTCTGACCGAGGAAGGAACCCCAGGTACTCAGGGGACTACGGAGAGGTTGGAGAGACTAGGCCAGAGTAAGGATTTTGCCTTTTTCTTTGAAAAAAGACAAACCCAATGGAGAAGAGGTGTGACGTGCTCCTGAGGGAGGGCAGGAACACGGGACAAGCATCATGATTTATTCTTCCTGCCTATGATGAAAATGCCAAGATATGAATAGTATAGTAAGAGCAGGAGGGACTTCATCTTAAGGTTAAGATTTCATTTTAAAATCCAATCGTGTAGACAATATGAGAGCTGCGCCTGCCCATATCCTATAAAACTGGGTGGTGTATGCACAGCTCCTGACACGCAGGCAGTGTCACACCGTGAAGGGACTCTGGATTCTCATTCTGCCATCCTATCTACACTTTCTGGATGCACTTCTGGGAGCTATCCTGTAAATCACTGTTTATAAGGATGTTTCCATGGGTAACAGGGATGACGAGGTTAAAAACCTGCCTGCAGAGTCATTGGCCATGTGGGCTGGGGCGTCTTGAGCTGTTGGTCAGTCACTGTGATGCTTCAAAGCCTTATTAAAAATGTTTGGATCCCCATGAAGCCCTACTATACCCAGGTTTACCAGGAGATTTGGGTAGGAATGGGTTTGATAAGCTTCATCATCTATAAAATCAGGAGTGCTGATAAAAGAAGCAAAGCTTTGAAAGCTTTGAGTCCTGTGCTTGCTCATGGTCATCATTAACCAGACCTACTTGGAGAATGCATCAGATGGGACGTCATTCTGGCCAAAAATCTCAGCAGGCTGCTAGATGGGGGCACAGGAGGCTGCCATGCATGGGCAGAAGTGCTGCTCCCTTTGTGGCATGAATAAACACGCCTGTGAGACACTCAAAAAAAAACCTGCCTGCAGGCTTGGTCCATGGTGTTGTCTAAAATGGTCCTGCATCAGTTTTAGATATGGAAATAAACTCAACATCAAAGCATAACATTAAAGCACAAAATCATAAAAATCAAAGACATTTGGATCCTACAGTATAAGCTTTCTTTTGATACATGAATTTGTATTGCTTTTGAAGGTATGGGGCTATCCCGTGATGAATGCGCAAGTGCAAGGGGGTTTGAAGTAATGGAGGGGGTGGGCCTTCACACACTCTCAGGGACAATCTCTGTTCCTATCTCCCATTCGTCTGTGATCCCCCAGTTACCCAAACCCACAGTAGACCAAGAATCAAGTTTTCCATTCAATCTGAGAATCAGACCACAGGAAGAGTCTTCCATTCAATCCAATTTAACTCACTCTTAAGGAGTGCCTGCTTTCTGCCTTAGGAGTTTCCTGGGGGATACACCCTCATCCTTCCAACATCAGGCCCTATTTGAAATGTTGGGGGTATTATCAATGAAATAAGGATAATTCCTGCTTTAAGAACACTCACATTGTCATGAGACAGGGAAGAGGAATAGAGAAAGCTAAGGGGTGGGGGCTTGGCAATTTTAAGGCCCAGGTCAGGGAACACCTTGCTGACAAGAAGGCCTTTGAGTAAAGACCTGAAGCAAGTGAGGATACATACAGCCTCACAGGGAACAGCATTCCAGGCAAAGGGAAGAACATGAAAAGGCCTGAGGCAATGGCAGGTCTGACCGAGGAAGGAACCCCAGGTACTCAGGGGACTACGGAGAGGTTGGAGAGACTAGGCCAGAGTAAGGATTTTGCCTTTTTCTTTGAAAAAAGACAAACCCAATGGAGAAGAGGTGTGACGTGCTCCTGAGGGAGGGCAGGAACACGGGACAAGCATCATGATTTATTCTTCCTGCCTATGATGAAAATGCCAAGATATGAATAGTATAGTAAGAGCAGGAGGGACTTCATCTTAAGGTTAAGATTTCATTTTAAAATCCAATGAGTTAGAAGGTAAGAGTCTTAACATATTTCATGGTAATCAGCCAACAAACAGCCCTATCTGAGGGCAGGACAAGCAGTCCTAAATGACATGTCCCCACTGCTTGAGGGTCACCACTATGTGGGAGAAGAGCAGGGTCAAGAAATTCCTTGTGTTAAGTTTATCTTACAGATTATCTAGAGGACATACTATGGATGGTGACATAATGTCTCTCTCAATGGAAATAGACATCATGAGACCACAAGTCAAACCTGCACCCCCCCACCCCACCTTTTGCCCTAATCCTTGACATCCTTAAAAGACAAAATGCTACCCCTCTAAGCACATCTCCTCTCTGAGGTTGCCTGCACTCCCCTTTCTTCAAGTGTGTACTCGGCCTTTAGTAAAGCCTCACTGCTTAACTTCCTGTGTTTTGTCTCTGCCCCCCTCTAGTGGGAAGCATCTTTGTTACTTCACTATTTCATTCAATTTTCTAGACTTAAGCACAAGTCTTCACTCTCTCTGTCCTACTTCAGGCAAGTAGGGAAGAGCAACTGAGATCTCTGATTTGGGCTTGCAAGTTCCTTTCACCTGGTGACCTGGACAGGACTGCAGCTGTACGATCATGTTCTTTAGTAACCTGCGTTTGTCTTTAGGAAGTTCTCAAAACATAATCTCACCCCATTCAGTGCTCTGTGCCTCCCCCAAATCCTGGGGTGGTAGGGGCTTAGCTCCCATGCTGTGCAGATTCACAAGGACACTGGACATCAGGTGGCCCTGGCTTTGGAGCTGGCAAGGGATCTGCCCTATGCCGAGCGGGAGTTCGGTGAGCTTCCCTCTCCCCCCTCTGCTCTTGCTCTCGGGTGCCTGCACAGCTGCTGACATGTGCTACTACTCTCACTTTGATGAATTCCTTCCTTACCTACACTTGTCCTACCTGTTTGAGAATTCTTTCTCTTCAGAGTCAAGAACCCTCTCCCAGGCTGAGGTCTCACCAAAAGCACAGGGAGATTGGGTTGTCTGACCATTTTCCTACTCATTTTAACAAGATCATTCTGTCTGCCTTGTGGAGTGAATCCTAAGTGGTGAAGGACAGTGGCAGGGGAGCCGTGAGGGGGTGCCTGCAATAATTCAGGAAAGCAATGATGGTTTGGGAGCCTCAGGGTAGCATGGAGGTGGTGAGAAATGGTCAGATTGTGGATTTATCCTGAAATTTGAGCCATAAGAATATTCAAAGAAATTGCATATAGGGATGAAGAGAGGAGCGAAGGATGACTGCTAAGCTTTTGTACCTTGCTATAGACTAATGTGGGGAGGCTGTGGGTATGTCCAACGTACAGAAGACTGTGGTCTCAATTTTGGCTATATTAAGTGTGAGCTACCCACTAGGGATCCATTTGGAAATGTTGACCACACAGTTGGAGGTATGAGTTTGATGTTTAGGGAAGAGAGGATTTATTTAGATGTAAATGTCATGAAAGTCTGAGTGAGATCACCAAGGTATCACCAGCATAAAGGACTGAGGTGGCACCTTGGGAAGAGCAATGTCCAATGTTTAGAGATTGTGGTGTTGATGGTGAACTAGCAATAAGAACTAAGAAGATACAGAGAGGTAGGAGAAAAGCAGGGAGTGTGTGGGATCAGAAAGCCAACTTTCTTTAAAAATAACCATGGGAGAATGAACTGCTGGTCCTTCCTCCAAGGGACCCAGAGCTTAGTGACCTACAGGACAGACTGCAAGCTTTTCTGCTACAGGGCAGAACTGTCAGCTTCCACCTACTGAAAAGGGTCCTTAGAGGCTCTGGAGCAATTATCAGCACTTTGAGGAGTCCAGGAGTCTAAATTCTCTCTATTCTCACAGAGGCAACCTGGAAGAACAGAGTCTACTCTGTAAATTCCACATGAGGGAAAGGTGGAAAGCATGTCCCCAGGGGCAGTGCAATCATTTCCCCCCACTAGTTTCACCCCTACCCTGATTTGAAACAAATCCTAGAGACCATTCCCCACCACACCTTGGAAAGCCTCGCCCACAGATGGGAATGTGTTCCCATGCCTTGGGCTGAGAAGCACTGTGAGACAATCCCTGTTCTAAGGCTATTCTCCCTTATCTACTGTCTGGCACCTGGTTGACCCAGCCTTGGCTTTCTTCTAAGTGTTCTCTCATGTCTGGCAGTGGCTCTACTTTACAGCCTTGTGGCATCAGGCCACTCCTGTCCACGGACTCATTTGGCTGATCGATTGGTA